TCTAACCGGTTCAGTAGATTTGATGAACCGGTTCTACCGAATAGGTGCGAACTGGTAGGAACCCACCTCTGGTACAAACATAGTTGATCCGTGAACCAGATCAAGAGTTCTCTCTAATAAAATGCGCAAACCTGGTATATTATATATTTCCTCTTGGCCTAAAAACCATTTCTTTTTCTAGGGATTATCAAGACTGCTTCTTTGAATACAGTAGTGGGTAAGTTTTGAAAGACTGTGAAGTTACAGAAGGAAAACAGGAAAAGGGCTTAATCTATAATTAGCAAAATGAACATCTACCCTGTTTCCCTGAAAATAAGACCTCCCCAGATAATAAGCCCAATATGGCTTTTGAGCGCATGCACTAAAATAAGCCCACCCCGAAAATATTGCAACCTAGCAGCAGCCATGAGGTGACCACGCTTGCTGCCCCCTGCACCTCAAAAATAAGACCTCCCCGAAAATAAGGCCAAGTGCTTATTTCAGGAGTCAAAAGAAAATAAGACCCTGTCTTATTTTCAGGGAAACACGGTATCTGTCTTATGCAGTGTTATCCAACTTTGGCAACTTTAAGATGACTATGGCTGGCTGGCGAATTCTGGGAGTTGAAGTCTTAAAAGTTGCTGAGCTTGAAAAACATTGTTCCTATATTTGCACTTGAACATAGAGCATGTGGAGAATGGACATATCAGCCCTTCAGGAAAGGCCTAGTCAGGAAACAGATCAAAGATTACAGAAATGTCATCGTTGTTGTAGGATATAGTAACCAAAGCTTGAAAGCTGACCAAGTCCTGAGCAAGTTTTCCCTCTGTCTGTCTTACACCAAACTGAATCAAGACAGGATTATTTTGAGTTACTTTCTCGCACCTTTTCCTTCCCACCTACTGAATTGCCTTTTCTTTGCCCAACCAATTCCTGCGTTCAAGTTTTATATTCCTTTATGAACTCAAAAGAACTTAAAAACATTGAAATTTTAGCAGATTGTATACAGGCAGTCCTCATCTTACAACCGCAGTTGAGCCACAAATTTCTGTTGCTAAGTAAGACAGTGGTTAAAAAAGCTTTGTCCCACTTTATGGCCTTTCCTGCCACAGTTGTTGAATCTGAACCTTGCAGTTGTTCAGTTAGCAACACGGTTGTTTAAGTGAATCCGGCTTTCCCATTGGCTTTGTTGATCGGAAAGTTTCAAAAGGAGATCGCATGAGCCCTTCAATGTCATAAATATGAGTCAGTTGCCAAGTATCTGAATTTTATTTTATTTTTAATTAAAAGAATTTTTATTTTTTAAAGATAAACTTACACAAAGAAAACATAAAACATAAAAACACCAGCATGTCGGTTGGTTACAAAACTTTTGTGGACCTCCCCATAGTCCTCACTTAGTTTATAGTCTCATATTATCAATCTAATATATATGTACACATTATTATCATTATTAATCTTTTATTTGATTATAACTATTATTCCTTCATTTTATATGAGATATTCTAAATTTTGAATTAATTTATATTATAACAATTCATTACATCCTCCTAAATCCATCCAATAATAGTACATCTTTATATTATATTCCGTGTCATTCCATTGTCCTTGTATTGCAAAATTCTCAGTCGTATTTCATTTCCATATTATTATTTTTTGTCTAACCATTGGTAAAATACATCCCATATCTTATAAAATTGTTTTTATCTTCTTGTTCTCTAATTTCAAATGTCAATATACTCATTTCAGCACATTCCATTATTTTATGAATAACGTCCTCCTGCGTTGGTATTTTCTCATTTTTCCAGTTTTTTAGCAAATACAATTCTGGCCGCTGTTAACACATTTACTCAAGTATGTGAATTTTGATCACATGACCCTGGGGATGCTGAGGGTGAAAGAGTGTTTATCAGTCACCTTTTTCAGTGCCGTTGTGTAACTGAATGGACGCTGAACAAGCTGTTGGAAGCCAAGGACCACCTGCAAATTTTAAAATAATTGCTATTTTTATAAATTAAGACTCCGTAGCCCATGCTTCTTGCCTATTTCATTAAAAATATGTATAGCCGCCACATCGTGGAGGCCTGTTGCTTCGGGCAATGAGGCTTTAATTGTGAGCAGAATCCAACTTGAACATTAAAAGTCAAATGGGCCAAGGCGTTTCTAACGCCCACTCTCAAAACGACCATCAATGAAACACTGTTAAAGCAGATTTCTCACATTATAGTTCAATGGAGGACAAAAAAAATATATGTGGAAAATTCATCGGAGGTTACTGATGCCGTTGCTTTTCCTTTATAGTGGTTGGTGCTGTGGCGTTTTTTGCTGGGAAAATGTTATATATTGAAAAATGTACGGAGAGTTTTAGAAATCTTCTTGTGCCATTCGGACCGGAACAGAGCAGGTTTGTTTGGAATCCATACTTTCAATGATAATTTGAGGTTTTTTTTTTTATATTAAGTAATCTTTATTAGTTATACATTTTTTTAAGAGTAAAACATACAAATACAAATACAATTTTAAACATACAACCCCCCCCCACCCCGCGGTGACAGTCATTCACAGCCAACTTTTTTCTTTCCTTCCTCATTGTTAGGTCTCTAAGCCACATCTTCTCATTACAAA